TGGTAGTTTCGAACTACTGACCTTGTGGTTTGCAGCCTGATTCGTAACTACTATGCTACCAGAGATGATGGAGAATCTCAATATCATCATCAGTCAAAACAAGGCCAGGGGCAAACTGTGAAACAGACCATAAATTAATTGCTCATATGCAAGTTCAGGTTGAAGCTGAAGAAAATTAAAACAAGTTCACCCGTTCAAAATGCAGCCTTGAGTATATTCTACCTGAACTTAGAGACCATCTCGAGAACAGATTTGATGCATTAGACACTAAGGACAGAAGACCAGAGATGTTATGGATGACATCAAGAACATCATACGTGAAGAAAGCAACAGGTCATTAAAATGACAGGACAGAAAGAAAAGACTAAAGTGGATGGCAGAAGACACTCTGAAAGTTGATCTTGAATGGACAGTAGCTAAAGAAAATGAATGAAATGATGAAATGAAAAGCTGAATAGACCTTTCAAAGGGCAGTTTGACAAGACAAAGTAAAGTATTATAGTGAAATGTGTAAAGATCTAGAGTTAGAAAACGAAAAATGAAGGACACACTGAGTGATCCACAAGCTGAAAGAACAGAAGAAAAAATTCAAGCCTCAACTTGAAATACTGAAGGACACTATAGGCAAACTATTTAATGATGCAGAAAGCATCAAAAGAAGATGGAATGAATACACATAGTTACTGTACCAAAATAATTGGTTGATATTCAACCATTTCAGGAGGTAGCATAAGATCAAGAGCCAATGGTATTGAAGGAAGACGTTCCAAGCTGAACTGAAGTCATTGGTGTAAAACAAGACTCCAGGAGTTTATAGAATACAAATGGAAATATTTCAACAAACAGATGCAGCACTGGTGATTCTCACTTGTCTATGTGGAGAAATTAAGAGGAAGACAGCTACCTGACAAATCAACTGGAAGAGTAAACCAAGAGAATGTGGAAGTTATTGAACAATATCGTGTGGTGCCCTGTTGTGGCACTGTAGGTTAAGTACTGTACACTGTGGAGTCCTGGTGTGGTGCTGTGGGTTACTGCACTAGACTGCAAAGTCAGTTTGAACCACAAGGTCAGCAGTTCAAGCTCACCAGCTGCTCCTTGGAAATACTAAACAAGGCCACTATGGGTCATAACCAACTCAAAGGCACTTAACAACAACAACACATTTTACTAGGATTCTGGAGTGGCACTGTGGGTTAATGCGCTGGATTGCAAAGTCAGTCTGAACCACAAGGTTGGTCGTTCAAGCTCTCCAGCTACTCCTCGGAAACCCTATACAGGGTCACTATGGGTCAGAACCAACTCAGTAACACTTAACACCAACAACTCACCACAATCAGGGCTCATGAAAGCAATATTACACTGGACAAAGTTGCTCCCAAAGACCTCTTTAAAGTGTGAAAGAGCAAAAATGTCACTTTGAGGACTAAGGTGTGAGCCAGAGCCAAGCCATAGTATTTTCAATCACCTCATACTAAAGTTGGACAATTAGTAAGGAAGACTGATACATTTGAATTGGACTGCCAGAAGAACACACAAATCAGTCTTGGAAGTACCGTCAGAACACTCCTTAGAAGCCAAGATGGTGAGAGTTTGTCTCATGTACTTTGGACAAGGTATTACAAGGGAGCTCGGGTAGTGTAGTGGTTACGAATCGGGCTGCGAACCACAAGGTCAGTAGTTCCAAATTACCAGCTGTTCCAGGGGAGAAAGATGAGGCTTTCTGCTTCCATAAAGGTTTACAGCCTCGGAAACCCTGTACAGGGTCGCTATGAGTCAGAACTGACTCCATGGCACATAACCACCACAGTCCCTGGAAAAGGACATCATGTTTGGCAAAGTAGAGGGTCAGGAGAAAAAAGGAAGACCCCCAATGAAATGAGATGGATGGACACATTGACACAGTGACTGCAACAATGAGCACAACATAACAATTTTGAGAGGTGCTGCAGGACCAGACACTGTTTCCTTGTGTTGTACAAAGGGGCACTATGAGTCAGAGTCTACTCAATAACCACATGCTAAGCATATAATCTGAAAAATTCTCTAACTTAAGAGGAACATGGCATCAGGATTGGAGGAAGACTCATTAACAACCTATGATATGCAGATAACACACCTTTCTTTCTGAACGTGAAGAGGACATGAAGCACTTAATAATGTAGATCAAAGACTACAGCCTTCAATATGGATTACACCTCAATATAAAGAAAACAAAAATCCTCACAACTAGGCCAGTAAGCATCATGATAAATGCAGAAAACAGTAGAGTTGTCAAGAAATTTATTTTGTTTAGCTTCATAATCAACATCAATGGAAGCAGCAGTCAAGAAATTACATGATATATTGTTTGCGCAACAAAGCTGCTAACAATCACTTTAAAGTGTTAGAAAGCAAAGATGTCGCTTTGAAGACTAAGGTGCACTTGACTCAAGTCATGGTGTTTTTATTCATCTCAGATTCACGTGAAAGCTGGACAATGAACAAGAAAGATCAAAGACAAATTGATGCTTTGAATTACAGTGTTGGCAAAGAATATGAAATATACCATGGACTGCCAAAAGAACGAACAGATTTATGTTGCAAAAAGTACAGCCGGAATGCACCTTGAAAGCTAGAATGAAGAGATTTCACCTCACGTACTTTGGGCATGTCTCATCAGGAGAGGTCAGACCTGGAGCAAGACCTCATGCTAGGGAAAATGAGGGTCAGCAAAAAAAGAAGATCTTTGGTGAGATTGGGTGACACAGTGGCTGCAATGACAGGCTCAAACATGACAACAGCTGTGAGGCTGGCGTAGGACCAGGCAGTGTTTCAGACTATTGTGCATAGGGTTGCTATGATTTGAAACTGATATGATGGCACCTGACAGCAACAATTACCACCTCACAACAATTGTAGATTTAATGTAATCATCATCATGAGTATATTAGAATTTGCAAAACCTAATTATTATCAGGGATTTGCAAATATCCCATTCAATCATTCAAAAGCCTATGAAATGAAGAGTCATCATCTCCACTGGCAGATGAGAAACTAAAGCTCAGAGAATTTAACTAGTCATGATTCCCAAAGTCTCCCCAGGGCTGAAATGTTATCTGAAACCAGAGCTATCTGACTCCACCATCACATCATCTTGATTTCAAGAATAGCTCATTGGTTTATACCTACATGATTATTATCATTTATTCATCTAAGTCAGTAGTTTCCTAATTCTTTCGAAGCAGCAGAACTCTTTTTTTTTCTAAAGTAGCTTTATTTAGAACTCTAGTAACTAAGATAAAAGCAGAACTGTTCTGTTGTAGTGAGGTCTGGGACACAGCAACCAGGCACTTAAATCCAGTGTGCCCTGACGCACCCTAGGGTCTGTGTGTAACACAGTATGGAAAACCCAGATTGAAGGCAACAACAACAACAATCCAAATCTTAATAATTAGATATATAGTAGGCGTGGTCTTCATTTGTATAACACAGCTTTTGTTTACCTGTTGCCCGTCACATTTGATGCTCATTATCAACTCTGAGGTGGACAAGGCAGGGCACATCATCGTCAATTTGCAGATGATAAAATCAAGGCCCAACGAATTTACACAAGTGGCCAAAGGTGCACCAGAGTTCAAGTTTCTGCCAAGTATAGGATGGGAGTAGAGTCTGTCTCCATTAGCTCCATGTGACTTGGTAGAGAGGGTGCCACCTACTAGAAATTGCTTTTACTAACTCTTCGTCTACAAAGTGGGCAGCAGATCCCTTGAACATTAGGTGCTGAGTACATACAACCCCAGGGACTCCTCTGCCTATACCTCAGTAGATGGTGACTATAGCAGGGAGAAGAGCCCAATGCCACTGGAGGACCATTCCCACTAGAGTCATGTGTTGCAGCAGGGCAAGGGAGGCAATAATAGGCCGAGGGGCTTTCACCTTTATCTGCAGCAAGTACGTAAATTCACTAGACAGTACAGACCTGTGTAGTTGCTGCTACACTTTGTCTTCTTTCTACATTTTGCTTAGAAATCTTAGTCCAGAGGCACCTGATAATTACCTAAATGGCTCCCAGATTCTACAGCATCTCTGAACTGAGCTAGACTATGTGTCGGAATCGGAAACACTTAATTATCACCTAGTCTTAATTAGCACTTAATTATTAACACTTAATCCATCTGTAAAATGGGGACACTAATACCTGCCTCATAGACTCTGGGAGGATTAATTAATACTTGCAGCCCACTTTGAAGATGCAAAACATTGAAGAAGTGCTCAACAGTGGCATTAATAACCACAGTGGATTTATTTTCTTTTCTTAATGAGGTTCCTTCTTTCTCTCTGCTCCTCCCTCTCCATGTGAATTCCCAACCCCAACAATATCTGCCCAACTTTGTCCTGATAGAGAAACAGTCAGCTCTGTATTTCCCAGACATAGAATTTCCCATCCAGAAAACGGGCTATTTACAGCCATCTTCCCGCACTTTAATTTTCTATTATATCCTCCGAACATGTCAATGCCTTCCCAGTAAATATTTTGATGTGAGCTTTTGCAGCAGCTTCTATGGAAGCTGAATGGGACAGCTGCTCCCTGTATTAGGGAATTCCAGATGTGGTTTCAAATCACCAGACTCATCTGTGAGAATGCCCAGCCTTTAGAAGGTTGGAGGAGGAAGGGACTTCTGCTTGACTCTGGGGAAAGCCAAGAGCCTCAAGAAAAGACAGTCATCTAACTCTCCGATTTAACTAGGGTGACTTTTCCAGGACCACAGACTCTGAAGTTAAGACCCCTTAGTGGACCGGTGAAGAGGCAGGCTAGAATACAGCCCTGGTCTGATTCTTCTTACAGAGCCATGGTCAAGTTTTCTCTAAAGGTTGCACAAAGGATCACAGTGAGGAAGGAAGAGCATACAACTTTAGGATATAACCAGACTCAGCAATAGGCCAGAACATTTGACCAGCAGGTCAGATCTCATCTCCTCCCTCCTCCCTTGCTACCAACCAAGCAGGGAGACACTTACTCTTCATGGAAGCCAAGCCCGTTGTCCTTTGGCATCCCAGCCAAGGGGGCAGTAAGCTGCTCTGTCCAGGTCCTGGGCTTCAAGGCTTCAGGCAGGCCCTGAACCCTCTTCCAGATTTCATGGCAAGTCTTGTCTAAGCTGTCTTGGGGTGTATCCTGGTGAATCCAAATGTACCTGGGAAATGGGCCCAGGGCAGAGGGGCGCTTGGCCATGAGGGCCAAGGACGCAGGAAGTCCATTTCCACTGGCCATGTTCCTTCTTTCTCTTCGTAAGCCCCTTTGTCCACCCAGGACTTGAAGGCAGGGGGACCATTCACTACCTCCCTTCATTCACCAAGAAAGGGGAATGGGGATGGGCCTGTCAATTCTGCCAAAAGGTGGCTATGTTGAGAGGCCCTGGTTTTGGATGTGAGTCCTGGGGGAGTGGGCAGCTTTCTTTTGGGGAGGGGGAGCTTATTGGATTTGCTTTTATTTGCTCTTTCCTGGCTTTTGTCCCCCTCCCCCTCTCCCTTAGAAGAAAATATTTAAAAGTCAACAAAAACCAGTAGCTTAGTAACCTTGGAATGCCCTGGAGCTCAGGAACCAGGAACCTGGGAGGGCAGAATGACATCTGGGAACAGCTGGGAGGGGAGGGCTGGTTCTCCCCAAAGTCCCTGGCACTCCCCCCTTGTGACACACCCCTGGCACTTTGGGGCTCCTGAGGCTCAGCCCATTCTCGCCCTCTAAGCCAACAGATGACTGGTTAAGAGCCTGGCTCTGTTCTGGGCACCTTGGGGGACAAGAAACCACCATGAAAGTCTAGCTCCCCCTTCCCAGGGCGCCCTGCGCAGCCTGAGAGCCAAGGGTCTCCCCACCAGTACCCAGTACCCCGTCCCTGTCTGGTTCTCCCAACTAGCCCCCAGCTGTCATCTTCTTCAGTGGCTGGTCTGTTGCCCCCCCAGGAAGAAAACTTGGGCGGGTAAATCTGGGGTGTGCAGCTGGCCTGTTGTCCCCGTCCCCCTGGCTGGCACCAGGACGTGGGGATGGACTCCCGGGAGGGTCCCTTTAAAGGGCGCTGTCTCGCCCAGGAAGGCCGGCGGGGCGGCTCTCACCACCTGCCGTCGAGCGTAGGGATTCTTTCCTTGGCTTTCAAGTGCAACGGCTCGGAGCGCGGGCGCCTCCCTCTGGCCTGCCGCGGGCTGTGGGCGGGTGGCGCCGCCCCGGGTCCCTGACGATTTTCCCCATTAGAATTCCAAGGGAGGAGGCAGGCGGCGGCCTCCCTCAGCAGCCAAACACAACCTGCTTCCTAGTCTGCCACGTTTTACCCCTAACTGCTGATTGGGTCAGGTGCTGCGCTTTCCGTGGTATCACATTGGATCTCTACAGCCTCATGCAGTCATTTCGGATCCGTCTGCACGTACAGACTGGTGTGGCGCTGCGGGTTCACGTGCTGGACTGCAAGGTCGGTTTGAACCTCAAGGTCGGCGGTTCAAGCTCACCAGCCACTCCTCAGAAAACCTATACAGTGTCGCTATGGGTCGGAACCGACACCACGGCGCTTAACAACAGCAACACACATACAGAAACAGAGGCACTATCACAAAGGGGTGCCCAAGGCCTGTTAAGATGTGGGGAGCTGAGATTCAAACTTGAGCACTCTAGGCCTGAGCGGAGGTGAGTGCTGGAGTTGGGAACAGAAGCAGCACGCATGGACTCCGGGAGGCAGTGGTGGTTCCTCCAGAGAGGTTCCCCTGAGAAAGCAAGAGCGTAGAGAGGAAAGAAGAAGGGACACAAACAGGGGAGTTGGCAGCCTAGAGAGGTCGGGCTGGGTGGACTCTTCAACTGCCACTTCCAAGCAGCGTGCCCCTGAACAGCTTTCTTAACCTCTCCCATACTCATTCACTCATTTCCCAAATATTGACTGAGCTCTTCCTTGGGGCCTTGCTAGACACTGAGAATAAACAAAATGCATGGTCCCTGCTCTCTTCGTGGTCATGTGTCATTGAGTTGGTTCTGACTCATAGTGACCCTATGCAGGGTGTCTGAGGAGTGACTGGTGGGTTTGAACTGCCAACCATCCTTACGATTAGCAGTCCAGTGCTTATCCTCCAGCACCACACTAGGACTCCATGAAGCCTTTATTCGAGTTTAGGGAGATACACAACAAACTAGGGTCCTGCTGTAGCACTGTGATAAGGATTCGAAAGGGTCACTATGAGTTGGGTACAGATCCCTGGCTAGCACAAAGGGTTAAGAGTTTGGCTACTGGGTGGTGAGAGCAGTTTAGGTTTAACTGCTATACTAAAAGTTCCAACTCATTCAGTGGGTCCACAGAAGAGATGCCTGGCAGTCTGGTTTTGTAAAGATTATAGTCAAGAAAATCCATGGAGCAGTTCTACTCTGCAACACATGGGCCCTCATGAAATGAGTGAGTGCTGACTATGGCAGCTAACAACAACAACATCTAATCCAAAGAGAATTCAAAAGAATCCAGAGGTGGTTCTGAGGAAAGGCCTACTATTTCTGAAATGGAGTATAGTTCCACTTTGAAACATAAGGAGTCATCATGAGTCAAAATGGACTAGAAAGCAACTAGTTTGTTTGCTTGCTTGTTTTTAACAGATAAAATAAGGGCTTTAAAAATAAGATGTTCAGGATCTAATCTTAATTTCTGTCCCATAATTGTTGCTGTTAAATTGGTTTCGACCCATAGCGACCCTGTATAGGATTTCCAAGGAGCTGCTGCAGAGCTTGAACCACCAACCTTGTGGTTCAAATTGACTTTGCAGTCCAGCACATTAACCCACAGCGCCACACCAGTACTCCCATAGTAGGCACTCAATAACTACGTGTTGATTGAATTGATGGTATAGTATATATATATATATATAGTAGGAGCCCTGGTTAAATGCTCAGCTGCTAACCAAAAGGTCTGTGGCATGGTTTCTGTAAATGTTTACAGCTTTGGAAACCTTATGCTACTCTGTCCTACAGGGTCATTATAAGTTGGATCCAACACAATAGTAGTGTGTTTGGTTTGGATTTTGGTATATAAAGTGCCTGGCATACAGTTGTTGCTGTTTTTAAGTGCCCTCGAGCTAGTTCCAACTCATAGCAACCCTGTTTAGGGTTTCCAAGGAGCAGCCGGTGAGTTTGAACAGCCAACCAGTGTTTTATGCCACAGTGCCACACCAGGACTCCTGTTGTTAACTGCCTTGAAGTTCTTTCCAAATCTTAGCAACCCTGTATAGTGTTTCCAAGGAGCAGCTGGTAAATTTGAACAGCCAACCTTGTGGCTCAAACCGACTTTGCAGCTCAGTGCTTTACCCTTTACCCCACAGTGCCACACCAGGAGGTACCCAGTACACAACCTTGCTCTTTACAGAGGGGCTAAGTTTCTGGAAATGTTGACTCTAAATTTTGAAATCCGAGCTTCATTCCCTTTTGATTTTCATTATAAATCTGTAGATGTGTTCCTTTGGGGAAAATTCCGAGGACCTAGACTGAATAAAATTATAGTTAAGAATGTAGAAAACCTTTTAAGATAGTGTATTTAAAGGAAAAGTGATCATTTCTGATGAAATATTAATAGTTCTGAAAATGTCACTCAGTGTTTGTGCTGCTTGGCATTTGGTTGGCTAACACCTATGCTTAGAGCTGAACGCCAACAACCCAGAGCTGCTCAGGCCACAAGATTCTGGAAAGTTAACCAACTCACTCATTCTTGCCCACTCCTATCTTCAGCAGGAGACTGGGTAACAGGGTTTAAATAAAAAAGGAGTAGGGGGAAAAAATTACAACCAGGTACTGTGAATGAAGGCTTCTAGAAGATTTTGTAAAATCCTTAAGAGATGTATTTAGATAGTATAAACTATGTTATAGCCACTAGCATCCTGTGGCTATTTTAATTTTAATTAAATAAATTTAAAAACAGTTGAAAATTCAGTTTCTCAGTTGTACTGGTCAGATTTCATGTACTCAGTAGCCATGTGCAGCTAGAGACTGTACCGTACTCAACAATGCAGATAACGATTCCATCACCATAAAACAGATTCTCCAATCAGACTGGCAAGTTTAAATTCTGAGTTCAAATCTCCTAGCAAGGTAGACTTAGGCAAGTTACTTAACTTCTGTGGACCTTAGTTTCCTCATCTGTAAATTGGGATGTCAATAATGATCACCTGCCTCCTAGAACTGTTGTAGATATTCTATTAAAATAATTATTAAAACAGTGGGAAGTCCCTGGTACAACATGTAGCATGTTAAGGTGCTCTCGTTGATTACATTGAAATTTCTGTATCTGAATCGTGCCCTCATGCTATGTGTAGAGAGGGAGACCTTTAGTTGTACTATTATTTGTAGTGGGGAAACTGCACTGTTGGAGCAGTGGAATCACTTGTTCCTTTTTTAGGACTGTATTCGTTTTCTGCAGCTGCTGTAATAAGTTAACACAGACATGGTGACTTAAAACAAGATAAATTTATTCACTTACAGTGCTGGGGCCAGAGGTCCAATGTCAAGGTGTTGGCAGGGGCATGCTTCCTCTAAAGGATCTATGGCAGAATCCTTTCTTGCCTGTATTATCGTCAGTGATTTCCCCATATTCTCGATGTGTAGCTACATGACTCTATTCTCTGCCTTCATTCCTTCTGTCCCAAATCTCCCTCTGCTTTTCTCTTATAAGGACACCCAGGTGATCTAGAATGGTCTCCTTTCAAGAGCTGTACTCAATTATACCCGCGAAGATCTTTTTTGAAAAATAATGCCATATTCACAAGTTCCAAGGATTAGGATGTGGGCATATCTTTTTCAGGAGGGGGCTGCATTCAATTCACTACAAGCACTTACAATGGGTTAATATTATAGAAGGCACACGGGTTAGAAATGAGTGAGACCTCTACTCTAGACAAAGTCACAGTCTAGTGAGGAAGGGAAAGCTGTCTATAAATGTCTGACTGAAAAGAGGGGCCAGCAGTAAGAATAGCACTGGGGCCTAACTTCAGGGGGAGTAATGTAAAGCATCAGGACAAAGCCAATCCTGTGACTTAGAGGTCAGTGATAACTCCACTTTCTAGCCTTTCTTACCACTTTTGATGCAATTGGTCCCTCCCCCAGCACTCTCTATTGTTTTCTGGGTTTGATCATGCATTGCAATGGCCTTATAGAACTCACAGACCATACTTAACAGTTGTCTATTAAGGAATATGATCCTGATCTGGAAGCACATAGGCAAAATTGCCCTTCTTATCAGCTCCTTTCCTCTTGGGCATGCAGGCCTCTTCTTAGCTCTGCCTCTGGGCCCATTTTAGGGCCTTTAAAGTTATAGCCCTTAACCTGTATTACAACATTTT